GAAAACTTAAGGCTCTGCTCCTAGCGAGGATTCAGAGTCCCAAACCTCTAGTGTCCCTTGGTCCTCTTTGTCTTTTTATTATCTAATTAAGGAAAACGACAACAGCACAACCAACAAGTCCTTTCTTTTTGGAAAAAAAGAAGAGAGGGCAGCAGAGCCCTTCACTTTAAAAAATATCTATCCATCTATCAAAAAAAGAAAAGGAAAAGAGACTCTTATTTTGCAGCGGCGGGTCCTTTCCTTTCCTTTCTTTTCTTTCCTTTCCTAGTTAGTTCTTGGTTTGCTATTCAACTGAGAAAATAGCCAGGAGAGACATGGCAGTATAATGAAGGTTCTTGGCGCAAGATTTTAAGTTATGCGCGTGGTTGGAAGTGACAAGAAGAAAGTTAGTTACTTAGTTAATTGGGAATTAGTTCATGGAGAGTCAGCTCTGAACCTTGGAGCGGTTTGTTTAAATGGCATGGGTCCCCCCCTTCTTTTTCCTCCCCCATCCCCACCACAATGGGGTTGCCTTCCCTTCCCCCGCTTTTCCCAAATCACCCGGGAGAGTTTTATCTTGCAGTTGAAGAAAAGAGGTCAGCATCTTTTCAAACGAACCTGTCTGCATGTCTGCTTCCGTCTGCAAGCACCCTTCCTTGGCAAAGGAGGCTGGTCCTCCATCCCCTCTCTGTGATCTAAACCCCACAAGATTTAAACTTCAGTCTAAATATAAAACTTTGCTGCCTTCCAAAGCGAGGAGAAAGAAATGAGAAGTTTGAAAAGTACGAACGAACTGCACTGGGCAGTCCTCCTTTCTTCCTGAATTGATGACAGAGAAAGAGTAACAGAAGGGGTGCATTTTGTCTCTTTTCTCTTTTTTAGTAGGTAGCTGGTGGAAGTTATTTGTGTTTGGGTTCTTTCTTTCTTTCTTTCTTTCTTTCTTTCTTTCTTTCTTATAAGGCCACCATTGAATGCATTATTCACATTTTAATAAAAATGCTTGAAAGAAATCATCTTAATGAAGAGAACATTTGTAGTAATTTGGTGATAATTATCAGAATCATCCAGTATTCGCAGAGGCTGTATCATTACGTGTTGGAAGAAAAGCAAAGCACATTATTTTAATAGTCTGATATGCAAACTACGGACCATTCAATTACATGGCTTAATAATGCATACATGATGTGATCTGGTTATTGGGACAGGGAGGTCTGAAGTAATTCACTCCGAAGACCAAGTTGTGCTCTTACATTCAGTAAAATCCATTGCTATGGATCAGGGGGCCCTGCCAAACTACATTTAAGAGAATAAAAATTAATGACTGAGAATCTGAGCGTTAAATTAACATTAATTATATGACCTGCTTGCTGGAAAGATTAAATTTCTTACGCCCTAATTAGATAACATCCCCCAGTACATCAAACAATTTCCTTTCCCAGATTTTGGCATTAACCCCCCCCTTATATGTGTGTGTGTGTGTGTGTGTGAGAGAGAGAGAGAGAGAGAGAGAGAGAGAAATATTGTTTTGCTCTCAAAGATGTAAATAGCCATCCCAACCTTCATTTGCTTCCTCCGGAGTTTGCAGGGAAAGTGGAGAAGCGGAGTCTAGGGAATACGTTCAGGTCAACGCGTTCCAGCTGGATTTCTTTAAGTAATTCCACTGCAATTTAAGTGTCTCTTAAATTAACACACACACACACACACACACACCCAAACCGGGAGCCGAAGTAGCGCGTATAAACCTTTTTTTAGTACCGAATTACTCCACTAGGCGCTGAGAAAGGGATTCTGTTTTAGTTCCCCCAAAACTCTACCGCCCTTCATTACCAACAACAGCAACAACAACAGCAGCTGCAGCAGCAGCAGCAACAACAACAACCGCATCGCACAATAGTTTTCTCTATTTTGGGGAGGAGTGAGCCTGTTAGTCCAAAGAGTCAACCCGACGGGACAGCAGAAAGCCTTGGCTGCCCCTCTGTTTCTCCTTCCTCCAGGGCGACCAGATGTCCTCATAACCACAAAGGAGGGACAAGGCACCCTAAAATGTAGGACTCTCAGGAAAAAAAATAATGGAGGACATGACCCAAGAAAAGCTCCAAACATCCATAGAAATATAAATGCATCATTTTGAGCAGGACTAAGAAGCATGGACTTGTGGCGCTTTGTCCTCCTTTAAGGTTAGGACAAGGGTGACCAGAGGTCTGCCTTTTCCAGGACCTGTCCTACATTTCAGCCACCTGTCCTGGAGGAATTATGAAACGTCCTCCATTTGGAGCCTGAAGCATGAATTCGTGTCCATATTATTGTGTTGAGTTTTCCCCTTTGATCCTGTCCTCCATTTTTCTGGATTGCCCTACATTTCGAGGTGCCTTGTCCTCCTTTAAGGTTAGGATAAGGGTGACCAGAGGTCTTCCTTTTTTAGGACCTATCCTACATTTCAGCCACTTGTCCAGGAGGAATTCCAAAAGGTCCTTCATTTGGAGCCTGACTGAGAAGCATGAGCTTACGTTTGTAGGAGTTTCGGTCCTGTCCTCCATTTTTCTCTGGGAAGCCCTACATTCTGAAGTACCTTGTCCTCCTTTGAGCTTATGAGGACATTGGTGACCCTGTTCCCCATCATTTCAGTCCCCAGAGACGCTGAGGGAAAAAGGCGAAGGGCGGGAAAGACAAGGACAGGGGTCTCTGTGGAAAAGACTCAGCCCAATGGCGGGAAGGACTCTCTCCTCTCAGGGCCGAAGAAATAGCGCCTTTTGCATTTCTGTTTTTGAAGCTCCCTTCCTCTCGAAGGTTTTGTAACTAAAAGGAACACCCCTGTTTAATTCCTTTCACTTCAGAGGTCGATGGTTTCCAAGCCAGACAATATATCTTAAGACAGACTGAAGTCATGCTTGGAGCTCAGCAAACCCTCTGCCAGCAAGACAGTCGGCATGGTTTCTTTGGTCGAAATAGGACTAAGTGCGGTTCCATCCTCTAGCTTTGGCTGTGTATCTGCACTGCAGAGATAATCCGGTTTGACACCACTTTAACTGCCCTGGCTCAGTGCTATAGCACTGTGGGAATGGAAGCTTGTTGTGGCATGGGAGCTCTGCTCTGGTGCCACAGCAAACTACCATCCCCACAATGCCATAGCATTGAGCCAGGGAAGTTAAAAGTGGTGTCAAGCCAGGTTATTTCTGCAGTGTGGATGCACCCCGTGCCATTGCAATACAGCTTCTCCCATTCTGGAGCCCAAGGAGTGTGACCCAGGCCTTGCACAGCCACAGTACCATGTGCACCCAGACCTATGTGTCACCTGAAATTATGCTAAAAGTATAGGTTGGTTTTGACCTGCTTTGACAGATTATTCAGTGTCCCTGCTGTCAAAGAACAGTTTTTGGGATGGGGAGTTTGGAGACTTCATCCATGTTTTTGCAAGGAAAATTGCAAAAGTCTCTTTCTGACCTGACTGAGGCGATGACTGATACAATACAGGCTGCCCACAGGTGATGCGCAGGGGAAACAGACCTGAAGAATTGCCAAGATCACCTTGTTTATGTGTTCTTTGGGCCCACCCCATTTCAGTGTAGGCCGAGGGACTTCAGCTCCCAGAATCCCAGGAGCTGTTGGCCAACATGGTACTATTGGCCAACATGGCTGAGGCTTCTGGGAGCTGAAGTCCCTCAGCCCTTAAAGGGGAAAGGTTGCCTAGCCCTGATTTATAGGATCAACACTCATGAAAAGCACTGGGGAATGTGCATAGAGCTCCTCTTTAGCTCATGTGTTTCCACAACACACTACCTTGTTATAGTGCACTATTCCACTTTAACTGCCATGGCAACATGCTATGGCATTCTGGGGTTTGTAGTTTAGTGAGGCCCAAGAGCTCTCTCAGGCTGAGAATTCTAAATGCTCTTCCCTAAAGTACAAATCCCAGGATTCCACAGGATGTTGCCATGGCAGTTAAAGAGTTAAAGCACTATAACAGTATGGTGTGATACTTAGGTCAGTGTGATAGTTAAGAGAAGTAGATAACAAACCTGACATGAGCCAGTGCAGTTTAATGGTTTGAATGTTGGACTACAACTCTGGAAACCAGCTCAGCTACGAAACCCACTGGATGACCTTGGGCAAGTCA